CTTTCCTTTGGGACCCGCCTTCAAGGCCGGGAACGTCGCGGCAGCGTCCACGTTAGCGCAAGGCCTCTCGTCGGCAGCCGCCTCGTGCGGTTCTGCGGGGATTTAAGGAAAGGGAGGAAGGATGAGAGAGGGAAGGAAGGGCAGAGTTTAGCACCCTGGCGCGCCAGCTGCCTCCCCGCTGCCCTTTTCCGGGGGCCGGCAGGTGACTCTTCCCCACGCCTGCCTGGGAGGCAGCAGCTCTTCCCCACGAGATTGCAATCGCTCATTTACGTCCCTAATTAATCTCACGATGTACAAAGCCCAGAGAGGTAAACACTCTACCCCCCGGAGCCAGCTGGAGTAGGTACAAGATTATGGTTAAAAAAACCCAAACCATCCGCTCTTTCTTTCTCATATACATACCGTTACCTGGATACTGCCGTTCAAATCTGACAAGGTTATTAAAAAACAAAACAAGCCTAATAAAAATGTTCCCATTAACGTTTAAAAAATTAATGGAAAAATAAGATTCTTAAAGAAACAAAACGTCCCTCTGCAGTGTCTGCAGCCTAAGCGTACCTGAACTTCATTACTGCTCGAGCATTAAGTTACATGTAATTATAATACAAGTAGTTGTTTTGTTACTGTCCGAACTGAGAGAAACGTAGAAGATAGCACAGAGAGTTTAAAACATTTTGTTCTATAATTGTTATTTTTTTGCAATTCTTTCATTTTTCCCAATTTACAGAATACCTTTTTAACATGAAGATTTCTTTTATCTAAGAATTTTTTTTCTTTTCTTTTTATTTTTTAACCTCATGGCACTATTTTATGGTAGAGCAAAATTATGAATATACTTTTATCTGACTTCTGGCTCAACGGATGATATGACCCTTGAAATTTAAATACAATGTCTTTTCATCCATGAACACACTCTGATATCTCTGTATTAAAAAAATACACAAATGCATGCATTTGCAACATCCAAAGACCTCTGCCGACCTAGAGCTGAATCCTGATGCTTTTATACTGGCACACATCTAACCTTTTGGATAATTTCATTGAAATCAGCAGGGCTGGCAGAGCACTACGGCTCCACTCATTGCTAACTGAGGGGTGGAAGCGCCTCATGTGGATGGAGCAAATACAGAAAAGAGCAGCCCCCAGCAATGCCATGAGCATTTTGCAAGTCCAGCAGATATAACAGGCATTTTTTGAGAAGGGACGACCACTTTAAGACGCAGCTGCCTCACAAGCAGAGAGCAGATGGAAAGATGCGGCACCTCCAGGGTTATTGGGAACACCTGTGACAAGTGCTGTTATCCCAAACTGATCAGAATGCGGAATTTCAATCTCAAATGCTGCATTCAATACCCAGAGATGCTATTCCATAAATTAAACTCTCTATTTTTTAAGGTTTGTACCCATATGAATGAAATTACCTCCTGTGAAGACTAAATGCCCAAACCTGATTTCCTAGCGACTGCACTGTCCTATAATGAAGGGCGTGTTGCATGAAAGCTCTAAAGTAACTGATACTCCAGAATAACTGCAGTTAAAAATTAAACCAGCAACAGAGAACCAAAAAGGCCTTTTCTGTTTTAACCCAACTAGAGCTCAGGAGTACATGGGGAGTTGTGGAGGGAAAACACTGACCATGCTGCTGGGAATGCATGGGAATGGTGTGCCATATCCTGAGCTGTGCAGGACAGCAGCTAAGGGCTGCTCTGAACTAACCAATGCAGCCGAGTCCAGCTGGCAGCACGGGCGCAAGGGTGCAAAAAGCACCAGCCAAAATTCAGCACCAGAGTGACAACGGCACAAGAGCTGCCTGCCAGGCCCCACTGCCTTCCAAAAGGAGAACAGGGTCAACCTGATACACCTACACAAATATTTTTTTAGATATTTTTATATATTGCAAACTTTATAGGATAATACAAAGTCTAAAAAAAACCCCAGAAAGTTAACCAAACAGCTCCACAGAAACACTGTGAAGAACAAAAATGTCAAGCTTTGCCTCGACACCAGTAAGCTGATGCTTACTGCAGCTCGCAACGGCAAGGCCAAGTGCCTCGAGAACATGTTCCAAGGAATTTTTATTTCAATCAGGTTTTCAGGCGAGCAGGACGCTATTATTCCTAATTAGTTATTGCTTTTGAAAGTAAGTATGGAATAGATTAGATTGAATAAGAAAAAGCTACTTCAGACAGGCTCCTCGAAGGGGCCGATCATTCTCCACGGATGTCAATGAAAGCTGAAATGACTTAGTAGTTCAGAGGATCATGACTGCGAGTAGCAGCGGTTGTTTATACACTAAAGAGGTGTCCAGAATCCTAATGGGATCTTCAGTTGGCAAATGGAAAAGGTCTGTGCTGTTGGAATGATCACAATACCACACGCAGCTTCAAAAAGGCCCTGAAAGCAGCAGAACTAAGAATCCTGCTTTCCTTGCACATCTGTCCCAAGGATCCACATGGGACAAATATCATCAGCTCACAGGTTGGACCCTCCCTTCCTGGGGGTGCAAAGTTGGGTCTGTTTCTTCTACCCAATCTCTGCTTTTACCCAGATTTGTAGAGACTGAGCATCTTTCACTGAAATTTGGCTGAGATTAGCTAACGGCTTCGTAAGGAATCGTGAAGAGACGAAAAGGATCCCAACAGGCAGAAGGACAATGTGATCTCATATGAGTTGCTTCCCTGAGAAATCAAGCAAAAATCCATAATTCAAACTGCATGTGCACATAAACATTTCCAACCATGCATATGCATGGGCATAAGCAGTACTTGTTAGACTTAAAAAGCTGTAGATTCATAGCTGGAGTGACATCTTTGCAGAAAACACCCATTTACCCTAGTGCTCTACATTTTAGATACCTGCACACAACTAAAATTAAATACATAAAAGGAAGGAGGAAAATAAGTTTCCTTGCAAGTAGTTGCTGCTCCCTCATGTAGCGTAATTAGGTTCCTTACCATTTTCTTTCACCCCATTAATCAGGATAGTTTCTTGGTCTTCTGAGGCACAATCCTGCTCTTGTTGGTCATCCATCAATTTAACCTCTTTCTGTTCATTCCATGCCCCACTGCATCTGGCCAACCTGTGCGTTTCCAGAAACATAACCACAGTCAGTACAATTCCCAAAATCAGCTCAGGGAAGCGTGAATAAAAAATAACTACAATAAAAATAAATAAAAAAGCACATACACATACACACCACATCACATGCTGCCCCTTACCTGCTGATGAGGACAAATACTATTTTATTAAGGCTACCATAGCTTCACTTATCCACTCCAAAAGCTAAGCTCAATGTATTTCAGCGGGGTTAAAATGATGTACATCACCATTTTCTTCCCCAAAGGCCTTCTTTAGACCTTTGAGCAGTGCTCTTCCCCTCAGCAATGCCTTTCACATCATCTGAAAGTGCGTTACAAAAGCAGGTGGGCATCATGGTCTCCGTTCAACAGAGGGGCGAGCAGGGATGCACACAGAGGAGGGCACTTCTCCCAGGAAAACAAGGAGGAGAAAGACTTGCCCCGAGACTTTTAGGTGTCTATAACCTTGGTTTTCATTTTAGACACTTCATCCCCCTCTGTCCTCTGGAATTTGGCCTCATCCTTGTGTCACCTACTGCTGCCCTCACCGGTCCCTGTTAATTGATATTTTTTCTCAGTTGCACGAGCACTGGTCAAAGCAGAGATCAGAAGCAGCCCTCTATTTGCTTCCTTTCTCCGTTAAAAGACGGAGAAATCCACCCATCCCTTGCATGGACGTGACTGGCTGTCAAGGAGCGTGAGACCCTGCAACGCGAGTCGTGTCTGTGTCCGCATCCCACAGGGAGAACCCGGCCCCAGCGCTGCCGCATGAGATACCCCTCCAGGTGGCCTGAGCATCACCGTTTCACTTCTTTGGCTGTAAATTAAACACAGAATCTGTTCTTTCCTTCTGGCAACTCAAACTCAGCTCTCTCTCATGGAGCAGGTCCTAGGCTGGAGCACAGCTTTTGGTTGAGAGTGATTTTTCCTCCTAAATCAACATTTGTCAATGCCTGCTCTTCCCCCAGCCTTCCCTGCCCTGGGTTCAGAAGAGGAGCTTCATTCATATTCAAATTTTCAGTGGAGTCCTCTTAATTAATGTGAAATCTTTACAACCGTCTTAGTAAGTGAAGCCTTCACTGAACTTAAAGATGGTGTGACACCAAGAGTAGGATAAGAATAACAAGCATCCCTAACTCCATTCCTTTGCATATTGAAGAGGAATATTTAACTAACCCTGAGAGTTTCACTCGGATGCAAATCCGCGTTGCCGAGCTCTCACAACGCGAAGCGGCGCGTCCAAGTCGGACTCCTCGCTCCCACCAACATCCACACTCTTCCCAACACCCCGGGCTCCCACTGTGGTTGACGAGAGCTTTCCTTCCGCAGCCAACGCCAGCAGCAGCGGAATTGCTGACATGTTTTAGCAGAAGCGACTCCGAGCGTATCTAGCAAACCTCCAAATCACAGATCTCACATCGTTTGGAGTATTTACATGCGACTTGCAGAAGATTAACTTTTAAGTGTGAAAGCCGCTCTGCTTTTTCCAGGAACAGTCTGCAACATCATGCCTCCTTAATAATATCTCTTGCCTATAAACATACGTTCAGGAGAATCAGAGGCTAAAGGACTAAATGAGCCAGCACAGCTTCTTGGAATGGGCTGCGCGAGGAAGAAAAGCTGAATTAAGGAGCTCAAATATGTTGTGCTTCGATAAATGCGCTTCGCACACCTTTGCGGTTTTCCAGGCAGAACACGGATGGGCCAAGATCTTTCATTTCAATTAACTGCAGGCAGGTAGAGTTGGAGGAGAGGATATTTGGCTGTGCACACTTACAGGTTGAACTCTCTGCTCACGAGCTTGCTTCCAAAGATGCTCCGAAAAGCATTTGTGGATGATCTGGCTGTAAGGTGACATCTTCCAAGCACAGAAGGTTATAATCAACATTGCTGTTCGCTCTGATCCCACCATCTTTGTGGAGGACAGAGGAGATGCTCCAACAGCAGCTCATCCAGGCAGGACCAAGCAGGGGCACCACCTCCTTCCCTTGAAGGAGCAGGATGTGATGCGGAGCAGAAACCAGCTCTGCAGCTGCTGCTCCCACCACACTGTCCCGCGGACTCAAAGCACGTAACTATCACGCAAGAACAGCCGAACGGGAAAGACCAACCCATAGGCTCGACTGTTGAGGACGGTCACGGGGGGACACAAAGCGATAGCCCCGCTCCACCACCCTAGCTTGCAACCCTCTGCTCTAAGGGCTTCCATACTTCCCTCATTTGCCTAACCACTTTCTACCCCGTTTGCACAGCCCCTTCCACAGCCCCTCGTGCTAAGGCCTCTGCCAGTTTACGTGCCGTGTAAGAAGGGACCTGCTTTTGTTTGCCTTGAACCTGTTTTTCCCCAAAGGATGCGCAATGGTTTCTCATTTTGCAGCTCCAGCAGAAATATTGCCTCAATCCTGGAGAGGCCTTGGAGTATGACCATCATATAAATATTTAATAGTAATATTTATATTCATAGGGAGAATCATAGCAATATTTCAAGTTATCCAAGTATATAAGCCAAATCAGGATACTACTTAGCTTTTTCGCACTGCTCCACGTAACGCTTAACCCATAGGAAGCAGCTTAGGGCGTTAGAGATGATCCAGGGCTGCTGCAGAGAGCTCAGTTCTGCAGCAGTCACGTCGTAGCATTATCAGCAAAAGGAGCTGAGAGCCAGGCTGCATCTTCCTGCATCACGTAGGAGCATCAGCACCGTCTCGGTGCCGGCTGCTGTTTTGCTGGGATACACCGAGCTTGGTGTAAAATGCCACAGGTGGCCTGATTGCAGCTGGTAACATAACTGTAGCCCCATTAAAACAATGGCCTCCGATGAATAAAACATAAAACAAAACGGGAAACTGTAATTCTCCAATCATATAAAGTTGTCACTCACAGGGCACAGAGCAGCTCCAGAGAGAAAGTAATAATGTGGACAAGGTGTTTCTGAGCAAGCACCGCAGAGAGCCAGGTTTTGGTGGGCGCAATCCAAAGATGGAGAAAGATGACAAAATATAGGAGTTAAGGGGATGCACCCGTGCATAACTATTTACATAAAGAGCATGGACTGAGGTAACTCGGGAGGAAAAATGTGAGCTCTAGAAATGAGCTGGAAAGAACAAGGGATCAGTGGGGGATCTCTGGATGTGGCTGAAGGGAGAGGAAAGGAGATGAAATGGCACTCGAGTTTGCAGGGACCTATGGCACAAGAAGCCCTTCGGGAGCAGCATGACCATGAGAGGTCAGATCCCACCGGGAATGGAGGAAACATGAGCTAGTGTGGGAGAAAAGCTGACAAGGGGGCTCAGTGCAACGGAGCAGAAGGAGACACAGGGGATGGGAGCAACAGGAGAAGAGCAGCTGGCTCCCTGAAGCAAATGAAATGAAAGTGGAGAGGAACTCATGGCATGGGGTATAAAGACTATCAGCAGCGACTGTATAAGGGGTAGTGAGTGCGCAATGATCACAAAGTCAACTGCAGGCAGGACAGTAAAAGGTGGGTTTCATACCGCACCAGGCCACCGAAGATACCCCCGTCTGAGGTCAAGCTGCTGTGAAGAAGCGTCAGAAGGAAATTCCAACACCAGCTTGAATTGTATGAACTTGATGGGAGGTGGAGGGGACTGAGGAAGATGATGGCAGGCCAAAGCAGACGGTCCAAGACGTGGAGGTAGGTGAAATCCACTCGATTCTCCAGGTCTCAGGAGGAGGAGGAGG